CCCCCAATATTTTTTCGAGGAGGCGACTGCCCCTCTGCCCACCGGTGCCGCCGCCACAGATTCTACAACTCCGACGTGTGGGTGTTTTAACTGGTACTAGTGGTAGACGGTGTGTTATAAAGCAAATACACGACTGTTACACCATCTTGAATTTTCAAGGTGAATGTTCCGGCGAAGCACTCCACTAATGTCCGAACGGAGCAACACCGTGCAGGCGGACGATGCTGTTACACAGTAGTTTTAATTTAATACGTCCTGAAAACACAAGATCACCGAATGTGGCCATATTGTAGCACAAAACACAATTCGATACAATTTTATTGCTTGACATCATACATTAGCGTGAGTTGCGCCCTCATCGGTGCTCCAAACCCAACATTCGGCCGGCGAGGGCACCACTCACGCCTAAATATCAGGCTAATCATACATGTACTATGGTAAGTATAGTAAAGCAACAATTTAGAACAAAAGACTTCGAAGTTACTGACAGTATGCCAGTTACACATCCCTTTTCATATCAAATTTTAGGCAATGAATTACATAATACATCTTCAACTGTAGGTTTTGTAGAACTACTTGTATCTTGTATGTTGGTGTAATTGATCTAGTTCGCCCTAACCCTATTTCTTAATTAATTGTAGTTTTCTGAATTGTTAACACTTAATAAATTTTGTTTGAAACACAACAATAAGTTTGATAGGCCTGTAGATTCGCAGCTTCAAGTTGTTTCCTGATATTTTGCTGTTGTCATAATGTAATTCTCCAGGTCGGGAAAGACGATACTTTTTATATAAATCCGACTCAATAACATAATTTTACATTTCTGGGAGAGTATATTTGACATTTCGGTGACAATATTCACTAATATAATCATTCATAAAAATTGTCTATTTGGAAAACCTGCACAAATATGGCATGTGTTTAATAACAATAAGTTTAATTCGATATACTGAGTAATTCCAGCTTTTTTATCGCATTTATTTGCCAAAAAGAAATCTATAGAAAACTAGATTGACATCTTCCAGAAAATTCCAAGCACTGTTAATTTCGTTACCACACAATCAGAGGGACTGGTGGTGACCACAAATCTCACCGCCACACTTTTCAAAACTGTCACAACAAGTCGGTGAAAAAGTTCGAAGCAAGTTCGCCTGCAAGCACACACTGAGTGATAAATAATAATAGTATTCAATTTATTATTGTGAGCATTATTTTTCAATTGGTGTAAATTATTATTACGTAATAAGTAATTCTAGTTGTTCTCTGTCAAGCTTGATTTCTTCATTTGTTAGAATACGATTACCCTTATTAAAAACTGCTATTTTACGCTCAGTGCAGTAGCCCTTTGGTTTGTCTGGGCAATTTATTTGGAAACTTTCTTGGGACTTAAAACTTATAAGAAAGAGATCAACCGCATAAGAAAGGCGGTTGATTAAAGGTAATGAATGTCCAGCATGTTAATACCCCTGAACAAACAATCCAAGTTAGCCAGCGACACACATATAAAGCTTCATGCTTCAATTAATCCAATTCAATTTAATTGGATTATCTTCATTTGAATAAAAAAGGATGAAGATTGCACTTCTGTTTGTCTCAGATGTTACTTGAAACAGTCAGTAGTGTTTTCAATAGTTTTAACAATTTATTCGACACTTTCGTACGTTCCCGAGTCGATACACATTACTTTCGCCGCTGGTTAACCACACATGGCAGGTACGGTACTAAACAGATACAGGTCTTCATTACCAGCTAGAAAAATTGTAATGGGCTTATTTAAATAAAATATGACAAAAACAGATGTAGGCAATATACTTACTAAGTGCTTGGTCACGAATTGTGAAATGGTTCAACACCTGGTTTCGTGTATATGCCAAGGTCAGTCTGTCAGGAGAACGACATTTTCAATACGGTGCGAGGTCTAGGTCGAACTAAAGCCGCGTAATCTCATTGGTGGCGTGTGTTTACCACCTGGTTTGAGAAAAAAACGGAATGTTAGGTGTAAAAAATGACAAAATCAGATGTAGGCAATATACTAAGTGCTTGGTCACGAATTGTGAAATGGTTCAACACCTGGTTTCGTGTATATGCCAAGGTCAGTCAGTCAGGAGAACGACCTTTTCAATCCGGTGCGAGGTCTAGGTCGAACTAAAGCCGCGTAATCTCATTGGTGACGTGTGTTTATCACCTGGTTTGAGAAAAAAACGGAATGTTAGGCGGTACACACAATCGTTTCGACCGTACTACCAGGGTTGTCATAAGGTTTTACATGTAATAATAATGCATTTGTTAAATTAAGCATTTCTTTTGTTTACTAGTATTACTAGTTTTTGAATTTGTTGGACGCAACAGTGTGGATAGCTGTTTTGATTTACGAGTAATGAGCAACATTTCCCCCCACCTAATGTTTTACACGACTTATTCAACCTCCGAAATATGAAAGGGATACTTGTAAATAATGAACAAATTTATCAAGCACAGATTTGCTTATCAAAATCCCTGTAATTGCTCCCTCGGTGTCACCGTGAGCAACCTCTCCAAATGAAACAGGCGAGAGATGTATACACGAGGTGAGTGAAGAACCATAGTTTAACACATTGTATTGAAATAAACATACAACTATAATCCTGGTGTAAAAAAGCATCCCTCATCTTTATAAATATGTAGATTTCCATTGCAGATGAAGCAAACCAGCCAATCAATCAACGAGTACGGTGCGCAACGACGATCTATGTTCATTCAATTGTGAAATTTATAAATATTTCTAAGATGAAGGGAACACTTTTGTTGTGCCGAGAATACTCAAGTTTTCAAATGACGTCAGCGCGCAAGGCGATCGTTGATTGGCTGGTTGGATTCAACTTCCATTGACATATATAAATATTTATAAAGATGAAAAGAATACTTTTGTCAGGCCGAGAGCCTTAAAAATGCCCAAATGGTCAAATGGTCAACTCTTCTTGCTCACCACATTATATCAAATTTCTTCGAGAAAGTATCAAAGACGGTTATTGATAATTTTACTTAGATCCAGTCCGGCAGTAAATTGAACTATATACGGTATGCTCGAGGTTGACCGGCTTCATTAGTTATGTGTTTTGTTATTTTAAAAATTACACATATCTGACTATCCTTGAGTCCGCTTGTAGAGTAGTAAATATTGCCATTCACATGAATGTTGGGAGAATCACGTGGTCTGGCACTTACAATTGCAAATATTTCCCCAATGTGTGTACATGATGAATCAACTTTCCATCTCTGTTAGCAATGTATAATTCAATTTGTTCAAAAGTATTCGAAATACTCAACACATTTGTTGTGTAGTGAGTTTGTAATGTTTGTAAATACTTGCATAATTTAAAGTTTTTTATTCAATTGTATTTTCTCACTCCCGTAAATGAACGTTTCGAAAAAAAGTATATAATCAACAACGAATGACGTCATAACATGGAATTAATTATCCACAAAATAATAACGGAAATGCACGACTTAGTTGACTCTGAAAAATAACACCGTGACAAAAATCACATAAACAACCATACACGTCATAGTCAGTTGATTCTATGCATATGTTAATAAGAACATATTAACAAGTGTTGAACATTTTACAAAAAAATATATCATGCGTGTACGTGCATTTTTTTACATTAAATTCGAAGCATTTACGGTTAATGATAAGATAGAAGGACTCAGCGATATACAATATTTTACGGGTAAGGGATATAATTTGGGGATTATAAACTCATCAGCAACGTCCAACAGGTCTGCTCTCTCAAAAATCAAGCGCCGATAAAATACGAAAATATTCGTTTATTTTTCTCTGGAAAGCAGAAGTTAAATAATTTCATACTTTATACAATAGCCAATCAATTATAGTGTGCAAATTAAACGCGGCAAAACCACAAACGTCAATCAGCGCGGGGTCAATTAGTCACGTGAGTGCGTAGACCACGTGGGGTGGTGAAATATTTCAAGTATTTTATACTGGTTTTAGTCGAAGGCGGTGCTCACCTCAACACGAACACTTCATACTTCCGAGCATCTTAGTCCGGTTTTAGTGCCTCAAATCACCCATCACCCGGAGCCGTACAGACCCGGATTCTGCACCAGGGCTATCATAAGGTCCGTCGTCCAGTATGAGTAAATTGTACATTGGAAATTTAAGCAGCGACGTCGATGACTCCGTTCTGGGGAGCCTGTTTGAAGAACATGGCGTGGTCACTACAAGCGTAATCGTGCCGAGAAACGAGAACGGATCGATCAGAGGGTATGCCTTTGCCGATTGTGACAGTCAGGGAAATGCCCAAAAGGCCATTGACAAGCTAAACGGTGGGTAGCCGAATGTGTCATTTAAAGTCATAATGTCGTGATGAGGTCGAAATGAAAGAAATTCTGTCAAAAAAACGTCGAAAAATACGAGAGTCTCGTAGTAAACTGGAGGCGTGTATCGCAGTGTTGCGTTCGCATTCATTCAACGTATGGAACTATACTGTGTATGATTGCTTTTTAAAATGGCTATCTTATTTCTCCACGTTGGCGTTTTTGGCCACTCATTTGGTAAATACACTGGGAGTGTGATGATCAGCCAGATGTGCCCAAACAAACGAAATGGAATGTACAACACCCTCTGATTGGTTAGCCACAACGAAAACAATTTTTTTTTCTCGATTTCGCACGATGTTCATGTCACGGCGAAGCTCCTTTGCTCTACGTCTTTCAAAGGGCTACGTCTTTTCTCGGTTCTTATTGGCAACATTCCAAAATTGTTTTATTCCAGTGATCATACGAGTGTATTGATTTGTCGTTTGTACTTGATGTGTTTTTTTTTCGGAATGTGCCAGTCAGTGTATCTGCGTTATAAGCAAATTAGGACGTGCAAACGATTCCCATCAAAGCGTTCAGTTGGCGAGTTGACCTCCTTTTACTGTAATGCGCTTGATGGATCCGTTTGACAGATAATGAAAAAATGCATTTTTTTTACCGCACACTTTGACAAATATTAAAATAACTGTTTGACGTGTGATTGTCTGTTCTTCATGTATCCAGTAGGAATCGTGAATTTCCGATTCTACCATGGAGTTGAACTCTACGCACCCCTTGTCATTATTGAACACGCCTTAGTATCATCTTTTTAGCTCTTGTGAATAATAAAGAATAGCCTCAAAAAAAGTGAGGGATAATCCATCGGTTTTGATATAATATAACAACTGGAAACTGACCTTTCAAGTGTTAAAAAACAAAACATTTCAGGAAATTCCAGCATGTTTACATGTATAGCAATATGTCCATTAATTTGATAACCTCCAATCATCTTAATTATACACAATACAATTTATTGCTGGAAAATAATATCATTATATATCCTAATTTTCTCAGAAAACTGCCTCCTAGGTCCTATAGTAAGCTTTCATTTCTGCCACCATCTGAATCTGGGCTTGAACTTCAGTATTGTAAGTGTATCCATTTTTGAGGTAAAACCTGTTGAAAAACGCCATTTCTCATTAAAACTATCAAGTGAAAATTTAAGGGCACCAAGGCAGTCAGGTAGGGCATTGAGGCAATTGCCTTCATTGCCTAGGTGAATTTCAAGTCTTGATAAATGATGAGCTGTCCAACTTTAATGGAGGTCACAATCAAACCCATTGATGAGAATGTGATATCGCTCATATCGGTTAACCTGACCTGACCTGACCTGAACCAGCTAGATAATTTACGGGTACTATACTTGGTCAGAAATTATCGTAGTATTTGATGGTTTGAATTGAATTTCCTCTTGTCTCGTTTCGAGCATTGATTTTCACAACTGTATCTGGAAGTGGAAAATTTCTTGGTGCTCTTTTAATTTATTTTTTCCCTCATTTACTTTTAACCTTTAGAACACAGAGGGTAACTTTAGTTCAATTTCATACATTATAAAGGGACATAATCTTTTTCAATGTATTTCGAAAAATTTTGATCAAGAAATTTGATAGAAAAATGTATCCATTTGATCAAAAATCTGCAGAAATTGTTAAAAAATACATGAAGTGAGCAAGATTCTGCTCTCCAAATTTGTTGTGAAAAATTGTGTTTATACGTTAGTCATAGCCAGTATTGTGCCTTCTAAGAGAACTGATTTTATAAAATTCAGAGTTGAAATAAAATGAAATCCACCAAAATCTAGTTTATCCAGCTTGCTGAATTGACTGTAGGCGACTTGAGGCACCTGGTTTTTTTTGTTTTTACACTGTTTTTGTTTTATAAAATTACAAATTCTGTAAATATAGTAATTTTTTCAATCAATGTACCGTTGTACGGTCAATGACACACCAGTGAACTGATTGTCGCAGAAAATCTCAGTGGAGCATCGTAACTCCCTTAGAGGACACACTCAGGTCATAGGTCAGTTTAGTTTGTGTTTTGTTCGACATTGAAATACTTTACATTAGAATATTAACATGAAATTTGGTAGTTTTGAAAATTTCACTAGGTATCTAAAAAACATAGTGATTCTGTAATCCTCGTCCTCGGGAATGCATTACAAAATCATCAAGTTGTGAAAAATTCTTGCAGCAAGATTTAAACTGTTTACGGTAATGTTATTTTGGTTATTGAAGGATATGCGTGATGTCAATTTAACGAAACTGCTTTGACAGTCTTTAGAGTGTGATGACAACGAAACAAAACCTTAAATACATCATCTTGACTGAAGTAAAGTTATTAAATTGTGAGCTTAGTTCACAGAATTTGAAATCTTTTTTTATTGAGATTTGTTCTAGACAAACTGAAGGCAGCATGACTGTCAGTGTTGTTTTCTCACCTATCTAAGAGTCAGTTTGTGTACCAATCTGGGAATTGGGAGGGAAATGAAACTGGTCATTTCCAGACTTTGGAATAGACGATCTGCAGCCAGCAATATTAGATTTATTAATATTGAATGATTAAACCACTGCACATACTACTTAGGCAACCTGGATAAGCCTAATTAATGCATTACCAACTTGGCTTGACCATGGAGGTAAAATATTTTTACCTCCATGGCTTGACCAAGGATGTACAAGATGAGGGGAATGCTATTTTTCAAAAGTTTTTAATGATAGGCGATGAAGTTTCCATTCTGTGCAAACTCCACATAGATGTCAGTCGACCAATGAAATTACAAAAATCATTGGACTTTCTGTATACCCCTGTCCTGTATACCCCTGTCCTATATACCGGTACTCTTGTCTTGTATATACTTGGCTAACAATGTGTTTATCTGAATGATAGCTTGTGCAACTCGAGGCCCTGTTTTCTTTATGCCCAGTCCTTGTATAGGTGCCAAGAGGTCAAATGGCTGTATAAACAACACTATAACATATTACATCCTGTCCACTCATGAAAGCAGGTTAGAAACTCGACATAATGTAGTAGTAGCAAAGTGTAGCGGATACATGCATTCATGCAATCTACACACTGTCGTATAGAAGCACTGCAGCGAAGGGGATGAATACTCTTTGAGAGCAACACAAACTCTAGATGGTGACGATGAAATTTTGCTCTAATAATGTATAATTATAGAACTAGATGTTACAGTATGCAGTAAATTTGAATCCTGCAACTGACGACTGATTTAAAAAAAAAAAAGGTTTACAAAAATAAAAAATTAAAGTTCATTCCTAAATATACGGATCTTGGTAATGTATATGTCGCAAATCAATTTCACCATGGTTCTGTTTCTGTATGGCTTCAAGAACTCGATTTGTAGTTAAATTATAGCATGAACACATTTGTATTTAAAAATCTTTGTATTTAGGTCACCACTTTTTCACATCATGTACATTTGTACGACAGACCCTTTGGTGTTGTTTGTAGTCCAGAGCGTAACTTGAGAGTTCTTTAATGAATGCTCTAACCTATGTATACAATACATGGCAGGAAACAACGTCAGAGCTAACATTGTGGTCAGTCTTGACCTATTTTAGTCGGTTGTACAAATAATAGTGAAAACAAGCTTGTGTTCAACAAATGTATGTTTCATAAAGTTAAAAATAAAAGTATCAATCACAGATTTTATTGTAATTTGTTTTGTGGGCATGTTATTTGGTATTGTGTTAATTCTTTTGTCAGTTTCGAAGATTTGTATAAATGCAGGTCAGACTGTGTTGCATTTCAACCACTTTTATGTCCATTGACAATAATTACGTAATTACCAAAAATTTAGCAATCTAGTGTAGACGAGTGGCCGATAACTAAATATTCGGGGAAAATTCAACCGACTACATGCTAGTATTTATACTTTGATTAAATGATACCATGATGCATATCCTGACGTAGTATTGTACGCGAGAAGTATCCGAACAGAGATTGTAATTTTCACATCGCTACTTTTTACTCTCTACTGCATAAGATTTTATCGCCAAAGCTTTTCATTTGAGTCAAAATTCATTACTTTGAAACACTATGAAATCATCCTTTAACAAAACAAAAAACCAGAAAATCTTTGCTGTTATTAATGTAGCACTCAGAGATGATACTTTTCATGTGATTTGTTGGATGATATGCAAATTTGTAACTTTAAAAATGTAACTTTAAGATGATTAATATTATTGATAACTTAACCATAAAATGACTTAAGTTGCAAAATATTTCGTTAATTAAAAAAAAATCAATTATCCATGCATGTGCTTCTGCTGCTATACCAGCTGATGGTTCACGAACGTACGTATGTACTTACTTGCCGAGAAAAAACTAATATACTGTGAAATACTTTATTTTCGCTGGTATTAATTTTCGCTGAAAAGGCTTTTTGGGCCTTTTGCTTGGAATTTATTTTCACTGATTTTGGGTGAGTTTAATGTGAAATATAGGAAAAAAAGTTTATTCGCTGGATTTTATTTTCACGGAATCATCTCTTCAGCGAAAATAGCGAAAATAAATTCCAAGTGAAAATAAAGTATTCTACAGTATTAGCTATATTATAAGCCTGTTGAATGAGTCGGGGGGGGGGGGGGTTATTACAGATTTAATTTGCCTGGTCATTTCTGTCCTTGACCTCCGATCGTCATGATGCAAACCAAGCTTTTCATTGTTAATATTGCGTTTGTTTATAATTCTACAGGATACAACTTGCAGGGCCAAGTTATTGTTGTGGAATATTCAACAAGCAAGAAAGCACAAGGAGGCGGTCAAAGCAGGTAAGGAAACCAACGAAGCGAGATAATGTACACTAGCAGCTATTGTGTATTAAAACGTCAAGCTGACAAATGACAAGGCCGCAATAGTCTATGGTGCCACAGATTCTATTGGTTGACAAGGTTCGTTCTATTGTGCGAGTAAAGCTAGATCAATCTGTGGCTTGTGTAGTTTGGCCACCACTCCCTCGGAGACTCGTCCTAAGTGCGTACCTGGACTTAGCAAGGCATATCCAGCATGTGTAATGAATATTAATGACCATTTCTCCATTCATAATTAATGTTTTCTTATAATTAACGATGCATTATTAATTAACAATACTAATCTGGTCGCCACTTATTAGAATTGCTGATACATTTAAGTTTATAAAAACGACCTTGAGATTTATTGTTGACGTGAGGGTTTGTTGTGAGGGTTTGTTGGGCCCTAATATTGTCATTTTGTGATGCAATGGCACAATAGTTCAGAGCAAGACAATTCTACGCATCCTGTACTTCCAACTTGCCTGGAACAAGTCTCTGCATGCATGACTGCTTTAATACTACTATCTGCATCCAGTCAGAGCAGATAAAAGATACTTTTCTGTTCCTGCAATGGGTAGTAATGTCTGAAAACTTAACATGCTTTTTCATATGATGATAGTGCATGTGTTAAATTAAATTGGTTTAATAAAATTTATTTTAGCTGATTTGATGTTGAATGAATCTTCAGTAGGTTTTAAAATCACTGCTTGTGAAGGAAACCTTTGTATTTGCAAACATTCTATGGTCAACTTTGCGTAACTCTTATTGGATTTTATCCTAGCATATTTAACTGTTGATAAAAGTAAAACCAAGGGAATAATTAATCTATCAGGGGTCTATGGTAGCATTTGAAATCGTAGGTGGGTGGGGGTGTAACAAGTGCAGTTTTTTTTTCATGGCGTCTTATTTGTATATTTTTCTTTTCTGTAAGACCTTGCATGCAATTTATTGTATCTAACTTGCAAATTTTTTTTCCTGACAAATCTTCCTCTATTAATTCAAATGAACAACTCCTTGTATGCTGGATACGTATCTTTTTGGAACACTGAATGGTGATTTAGAAGCTTAGTTACAAAAATTGCAATACTTGCGCAAAGGCTAAAGTCATTTTTAGTATTTACCCAAGATTGAATTTTGAAGCGTGGCTCAGAAATTTGTGAATTTTAAGAAAAAAAGGCTGACATCTTGGCAATATACCCACATAACAATAAATGTAATTTCACATTTCTGTCTGAAATTTGTTTTTTTTGATAGAAAATAATTTAAAAAAAAAATGTAGGATAAAAATTAAATTCCTGGTTGACCTGTTAACGAGATGCTGGTTGAATTATGTCCACATTGAGGAATTATTTACATTGTAGAAAACGTCACTAATTGTATAAACAAGATTCTTCTTGATAAATAATTCCACAGCTGAATTTAGCATACAATGGAATATGCATATTGTAATTAGTAGGATGTTGTAGTTCAATATTGGTTAGATTAACATTTTTAAAATGCGTACATGGAAAATTAACTCTTTAGCTAGCTTGTAGAAACCATATTCGCCTGTTTGACACATGAAGGGAAGCCAACAAACGTAGTTTCTCTTGTCCACCACCCGGTGTTACTAAGAGTGCTTATATAATTTAAATTCACTGTACGATTTTATGGTTGATAGAAATAAGCTGGTGGTGTAACACGATATTAGTTAGTATAGTCACAATTGCAACAAAATCTCTATGAATGATAACATGGTAGGGAATGAGAATTTATTAACAAACAAGACACTTGTGTCAGGCCGAACACGTTGACTTGTTATGGTTTTGACTCTGACCTTGTTCATAGTATCGGTACATGCAATATGAATGTCTTTTATTTTTGTAAATGGTTTGAAAAAATAATGAAAAGTAAATTTAAAAAAAATGCACACTGCGTTTCCCAAATGTTATTTATTTACATCAGTGTTTGACACGATGATTATTGCATGCTGTGTAGAGTGTTATTCGCAATTTTCTTTCCATTTTGTTTCAATTACATTGCTTTCTCGTTTACACATTTATTTTGTCCCAGCCTTGGTGTTTTTGATACGCATGCTAAAGGAGCAGTTTTATTTCCACACAAGGTGTAAAGTAGAAAAATAGCAGATTAATTTAATGATATTGTAGATTATTGCTGCAATTTTTAAAATTCCTAACCCTAGTCTATGTGGGTGTGTCGCAGATGTTATGAAAATATGGACATTTACGGTTGTATTTTCAAATTAGCAAAGTTTATTATCAGCCAAGAAATAAGGTCAACTTCCTAAGCATTGCAAGTAGAGCAATATACATACACTGTACTTGCTTGCATAGAATCAAGGTCAACTCAGCGAGAGAGAAAAAAAAGGCTATATATACAGTACCTGCATGGAATTAAGGCCAACTGTTTGAGGAAAGGAGGGCTATATACACTACCTGCAGAGAATTGAGGTAAACTAATTTGGGGTGGGGGCATTATACAATGTACCTGCATAGGAATTGGGCCATCTATACACTACCTGCAGAGAATTGAGGTAAACTAACTCGGGGTGGGGGCATTATACAATGTACCTGCATAGGAATTAGGCCATCTAGGTAAGAAAAGGGAGGGCTTATATACCCTGTACCTGTATACAATTTTCATTGCACCATTGACTTTGTAAAGTGGTTGTTTTTTCAACTGTAAAATTTTTCTACTTTGCAAATTTGAGGACCCCCCCCCCCCCACTGAGATGAATGTGAACACACAGTATTGAAATCATAACTCTATCTTGTACTCGTCTAGACATTGGATAAAGAAGATACAATTGCGATGGAATAAAATGTTCTAATTAGTATGTGATCATGCCTTGAAAGTGCTTTATGGAACAATATTGTACTTGTCTAATAAAACCAGTCTTCACTGAGCACCAGATATTGTTACTTGTGTTCCCTTTGATTAGTAACGGTATGTACTTTTTGAAATTTTATTTTTGAGCAGAAAGTCAGTTTCGACAGGTTAATCACAACATTTCATTGTATGCTTTGTTTGTGGCCCAAAGAGTTTCGTTTAGACCACATTTATCGATATGAAACTTATAGTCTTGAAGAATCCTTATAAAAATGCTGATATTTGAGTTGTACTGGAGCTGCAATTTACAGTGCTGCATTTTTTTTCTTAGCTGTCTATATGTTTACAGAGAACATTTTTATGTAGACAATTGTTGCAGTAACTCGTCAATCATGATTACATTCTCGTCTCTTCGTGTTACGACTTCTGTGCACATATTTTATGTTCCTGGTAAATGGTTCCAATTCATGCAGGATCCCCCCCCCCCAGAATAATTGCTCTAATTTTTGAATCACAAATGATCATCATTATTAGCAGTCGTATTGTTACAATTTTAAATTATTCTTAAAAACTAGTTTCTACGGCAAGTTGTACTACACTGTGTGCAAAGTTTTTACACTAAAGCTTATCCAATTACTAGTACCATGTTATACTGTTCTGAAATATACAAGTATTCATAATGCACATTTTATTGCGCAGCTTGGCTTTCACAATATTACGACTACGTCATATTTTACCCTAGCATTTAAGAACAAATTGTGGTGTTTATTAAATGTTAAAATTTAATTACATATCAAAATGTCATCCATTGTTCAGAAATTATTTACTAAATCCAAATTGGTTGCTAATAGGAGGTAGATATTGTGTTTGTTGCTTGCATCAAGCCTTCAAATCTGTGTAAGTGTTTTCTCATTTCTAGCTCCCACATGTTTTGTATCAAGTTGAAAATTTTTTCAGGTGAAAATATCAAAATGCGATTCTTGGATTTAATGGATTATATACACCCACATCACATCACATCACATATCATACACCCACACATTTTCTCTGCTCCACCAAAGAGGGCACTGTTTTCAAGGTTAAATATACTGCTGTTGCCATGGTGGATTTTTCATAAATATATAAAATTTGTTGCCTTTTAGCAGTTGTATTTTCTCGTGGTCATCCAACGAAAATGTCCAAATGTTCAAGGTATGGATGTTTTTGCTACTTTGGCTTGTGACCTTTAGATTTTTTTTTGGTACGCTGTCGTACATGGTTGGACAATTGGGTCATGTATATATTTGGAGATTTTCTGCGATGTCGCATAATATATATATTTATCAAAACATTGAATTTACAGCATTTCTGTGAAGTCCTTTCTTCTGTTTTATTCCTCATTTTCGAGTGCCCTAGTTGTTGATTTGTGTATTCTATAGTGAGGTTCCCATGCGTGTGATGACGCTACAACATGACAATTGTAAATAGGTTTTAAAAGAATGAATGACGTTTAGAACGATTTTATTTTTCTGTCATTAAGTGAAGTACAAGATTTGATTTGTATTTTTGATTCAGTTCATTTGCTATGCATTTAAAGAAATAGTGTTGTGTATTTCAGTTCATTGGCTTTCTTGAAAGAGAGGCCCCATGTAAGGAGTTGCATGGCATTATCCTTTTATTTCTATGGATTAGTGACATTGACCTCTGCTTCTGGGACAGTTTACATAATCTGGCTATCGAGAGAGTGCACTAAATCAGCAGATGCCTAATTATCAATAGAAAGTCATCTGAAACCTGAATGCCTTATCAATACATCTACACGGCATATTGGAAAAATTTGATCGGGAAAATACATTTGAAAATAACATGTGGGAGTGGGTGATGTGGAGGTGTCTACAGAGAAGTGTAACATCATCTACGAGATGGTATCCGTGATGGTGTGGGGGCGACTTTAGAGTAAGATTCTTTGTAAAGTGTGGAGGAAGATATTTTTCTGAAATTGTATCCTACACATCTGACAGTTTTTTTCTGAGGGGAAATATTCCCTGTCAATATGATCTTCAAGAAAGGTTACGACTGTTTTTCCTGGAAATGCCTTCTCCACTTCAAGACTTGCCTCGTAGGAGATATTCCCTGCAATAATAAGTGACAATTTTCCATAAACTGAAAA